GGACCAGCCCCTCCAACGCAACCTGCACACGGGAGAACTGCCTAGGTACAGGCACTGCCCCTGTGCACATCCTGCCACCCCACACTGCCCCTGTGCACACTCTGCCACCCCACACAGCCCCCGTGCACAGGCTGTCCCTGCACACAGACTCTGCCCCTACACCCCCTGCTCCCCACTGCAGCCCCTCTACACGCAGCCTCCCTGCCTCCCACTATGCCTGCCACTTTCCTTCCCCCAATGCACCCCAAAGTGTGTGCCCTCCTCACCCCCTGCTCCCCAAACCTCAGTCACATCCCTTTGCAGAGAGACCTGGGAGCTGCCCCAGCCCTCCCTTGTGCATGTGCTGTGCTGTGCTGGCCCCAGTACAGCGGGGGGACTGGGTGACCCTGGCTCCTGGGAATGGGGGACACTCAGCAGAGCACGGGGCTCAGCGCCAGGCACTGGTGCAAGCACTGGCCTGCAGCAGCAGGAGCTCACAGCCAGGGAACGATGGCACTCAGGGACACAGTGGCCCATGGTGAGACCCATGTGCCTCAAATGATGGCAAGATGGGCAAGGAAGATGAGGATGGTGAGGAAAAACAGGAGGGTGAGGAGGGTGAGGGGACCTGTGGTGCTTCCAGCGGGTTGAGAGCTGGCACAGGCAGGCAGGGGACAGTTGACACCCGTGTCTTCCCCACGGCCAGCGGTTCTTATCGTTCATGTTTGGGGGAGATTAGCTCGAGCTGGCACCCGTTCAGAGCAGGGGAGGAGGGCAGGATGGGGGGACTGAGCTTCTGGGAAGCAGAGCCCGGGGAAGCACTGGCAGGGTGGTGGGTCTGCAGAGGGGGCAACTGCCAGGGCAGAGGAGCCCTTCAAACCAGGGGCACGAGAATGACCGGAGCACTGGGATGTGGACAGGGATGTGTCTGAGGATGGAGGAAAAGCATTGGGGGTTCACGAGTGCTCCTTCAGGAGCAGGGGTGGTGTGGGCCAGGGTCTCCCAGTGCCGTGTTTCTGTGCCAGCAAGGTCCCAGCTCGCCCAGCGCCTGGCCACAGCGGGCACCATGCCCCACCCCTGCCCAGTGCTCCTCTCCTTCCTCTGGTGTCACAGCACAGAGCAAGCCCAGCGCTGGGGTCGTGTCCTATAACCCATCACCTGTGATCTAAAGGCAATGAAACCAGGTGCCCTGTGCTGGGCTGTGGCTCTGCCCACCCTGCTCCCACCCTGCCCGAGTGCCAGGGGCAGAGCAGGCGCCCAGGGCAGCTGTGGGGCCAATTCCCTGGCAGTCCATGGGGTGTTGTGGCTTGGGGGCTCAAGCCCAAGAAGAGTGTTTCTGCTTAGTGGTCTGTGGTAGGGTTTTTTTCACTCCATGAACTTATATGATTGCTTTTGGAGCTCATGTTGGCAGTCAGCTCCCACAGCATCCCCAGATGGAGCTAGGAGGGATTCATCCTACCCCTTTGGAGAATTCTTCAAGGGGGTGAATGTTTGGCTGGGTGCGCCCTTCCCTCTGCTCCTCAGAGGGGTGCAGGCATGGCAAGGCAACAGGCTGAACTCCATTCCTAGGGTCCTGCTACCAACATCGGCCACATCCCAGCCTGGGGTGGGTTGGGGTGGAAGCAGGCAGGGCCCCGGGTTGGGGGGAACCCAGGGAGCCCATAGCCAGTGCTGTCCCCTTGTTCCAGGACCAGCTCCCACCAGCAGAAGCAGTGTGACCGTTCAGCCCTCCCCAGCCCCCAGCCCTGGCACAGACAGACACGGTGCTGCAGCAAAAGGGTCTTTATTGATGGCACCCGGGCACGAGTGGCAGCTCATCTGTACTTCTCGGACAGCACGGCGGCCACGGCAGACAGGAACTTGTCAAAGGCAGAGTGCACCTCGGGGGTGTAATCCTTACCCAGGTGCACGGCCAGCACCACCTGCAAGCTCTGCGACAGCAGCTGCAAGGGAAAACAGGGCTCAGCACCACCACTACAGCCCCTGTCCTGGTCCCTGTCCCTCAAACTCTGCTCCTCATCTTCCATCCTCTGCCCTGATCCCTGTCTCTCAAAACCTTCCCCTCATCCTCCATCCCCCCATCCTGGTGCCTGTCCCTCAAGCCCTGTCCCCCTGTCCCTCATCTTCCATCTCCCCATCCCGGTCCCTGTCCTTCAACCCCTCTCCCTCATCCTCCATCCCCTGCCCTGGTCCCTGTCCTTCAACCCCTGTTCCTCATCTTCAATCCCCCCATCCTGATTCCTGTCCCTCAATCCCTCTCCCTCATCCTCCATCCCCTGCCCTGGTCCCTGTCCCTCAACCCCTGTCCCTCATTTTCCATCCCCCCATCCTGATCCCTGTCCCTCATCCGCTGTCCCCACACCCCTCCTCCCCTGCCTGCCTTGAAGTTGACGGGGTCGACACGCAGGTTGTAGGCGTGCAGGTTGCTGAGCTCAGACAGGGCCTGGCTGAGGTTGTCCACGTTCTTCACGGCGGTGCTCAAGGCGTTCATCACCTTCTTGCCGTGCGCCTTCACCTGAGCGGAGCCGGGTGACAAGTCGAAGTGGGGGAAGTAGGTCTTGGTCTGGGGGCAGGAAACGAACATCCTGCCGGAGA